ACTTATATGGACTTTGAGGGGTTTGACATAGAGGCCCTGCAAGCCTCTGTGGTGGATAGTGATACAATTGATACAAGTGATACAGGTGAGGGCCAATAATCTTCCCTCTGCCTCGGAACCAACCCCCCATCCCCGTGTGCCCAGCCATCTTTTCTACTAATGTAAGTGTTAAAAAACCTAATATTATTGATATTTCTCTTAATTATTAATTGTGTGTGCATACCATCATAAAATTAAGAAGTTATTTTTACTACAACGTAGGTATTGTGTCTGAAAAAGTGGAGTTTGGGGGTCGGCCCGGTCTCTATTTCAATTAATCCCATATGTTATGTTGTTCACTTTACGCGTTTCTCACTTTACGCGGGCTGCCGTGGGTTCAATTGACCGCGTAAAGTGAGGGTTCACTGTACAGTATTTCCATGCTAATCTGGGCCTGTATACACAAAACTTTTCTGCGAATGAAAATAGTTCTGTTAGCTAGCAGTAAAGTTTAAAGTTATACACAAAGCAAATTTTTACTGCACAAACAGCTGTTTGTTAAGTACCGTTAAACAGCGCTAAGATTAGCATGTGTTCATCATATAAAATGGTGTTATGGCTGAATAACCTCAATAAAATTATGAAGATTAATTTCAATATTTGCATTTATTTACATTTTGATAATTAAAAACAAATAATCTATGCAGTTTGAAGGAGGATATATTAACCCAGAATAGTGATCAGTGGCTTGACCTTGCCATGCTGTTTGTAAACAAATGTGTTATTGAGGAGCGGACAAGATGAACATCACGGAAATGGAAGCCTCAACCCCACGAAAGAAAAGGAAGCCCAACTGGACAGCAGACCAGACTTTATTATTGGTGGATGCCATTGAAGAGAAAAAGTTAAGGTTATTTTTCGTTAACCACCCATCACCTTTTTTCACATGAAAAATATATTTTTTCGCTAGTTTTCTCCCGGTTAGCAAATGTTATTCGCGGATTTGGCGATTCGCGGCCATTTTGAGAACCTAACCCCCGCGAATTTGGGGAGCCCCTGTATTATTAATATTAACACTCTTCTTCTTCCTCTCTTTATTATTATTTATGCTCTTATGAATTTTGCTGCCAGTATCAGTGTTAAAGCAATTTAGTAATCATAAGCATATGAGCTAGCTATTTACTTGGGGGGGGGGAGCAGAAAGAATACAAGAATGAAATAAAATAGTTTAAGAAAATAATAAAAATTGTTAATGATTATAATTATCATCATTCTCTCTCCCAAGCTATTACAGTAAATCAGTGAATACAAGTACAGTATATATGTTTAGAGGTTTTCAGTTTATTAATATGGCCACTTGTTATATTACAGATGACTAGGCTATACAACAGTTTCAAGCAACAAATAGGTTCGGTACTTGTCGCGACACATCCGGTTTCCCGGCCAAAAGTTAGAATTAAGGGAATTTAAATTTAAACCTGCCAGTGGTTCTCGAGTATTGTCCTTCCTCTTGTTGAATCCAATATATTTGCTGCATGCACAATAAAATCCATTTTTTTCTCTGTTTTTCATCCTTTGGAAATCAATGAAATCTCAAACTTTTATCATGTAGTCTGTTAGTATTTGATATGCATCCAAATACGTAGCATTTATCAGGCATTGTCTTAGACCTTTGCACCACGACGGCCAGCTGGTGACTGAGCTCCCACCCTGGACCGTCCCCCGGCTGCCGGCCAGATGACGTCATGCACGGTGAAGGAACCTGGGGAAAAAATTTGGAGTTTCCTGAATTTTTCTCAGAATTTTCAAGAAATTCACCTGATTTTCATCCTCAGAAAATCATTCCCAAACCTGGAATTGAGAAAAATTTTCTGGAAAAATTCTGAGCATACTTCAATCCGGCTAACGGAGATATTACTCTACAGTACCTGCATATTGAATAGCCCTAGCCTGTGGGGGATGTGAAAAATATTCAAAGTAGAAAAATTTTACTGACTGTTTATAATCTTTGATTCATTACTTAGCCAGCTTGACAGATTATACCTGAAAAATATAAAGAGAATTTGTTACCACATGTAAAACTACAGACTGCAATAAGCAGCTAAAATTCACTGATTTTATGAATTTTGAAGTTTGGTCAACAATATTTGTACCTTAGTACTAAAAATTCAAGTGTGGTGGTCACACCTCTTGAAACCCTTGTGTTGATCCCTGTATGACTGAACTAGATTATATCCTTCCACTGTTCAGATCATCTTTGAGACTTAATGATGTTGTATGTTCATGAACAGCTGATAGAGATGGTACCGTAATGATGTGACCGTAGATAATTTCTTGAATTGCATTTGAAATTATTTTAAAACTCTGATGTTAACTTTTTAGGGTTGGAATGGGAGTAAGTACAGTAGTAGGCAGCTATCAAACAGGGAGGTACTACTGCCTGGGAAGATATTGGAAGCATAATGTGTTGTCTAATGGTAGACCCTGCTGCCATATGGCATCACAAAAATTGTGACCAGGTCCCAGGTTGCTGATCTCACTTTCTGCCTCATTTACACACAATTGCAGGGTTTCAATTGTTTCTCGTACTTTGACAACACAACATACTTATATTGTTTCACATTACAGTATTTTTTATTTATTTATTTTTTATTTACAGTATTTAAGGTCCTTTGTTGTTGTTGTTGTTGTTGTTGTTGTTGTTGTTGTTGTTGTTGTTGTTGTGGTGGTGGTGTTGTTGTTGTTGTTGTTGTTGTTGTTGTTGTTGTTGTTGTTGTTGTTGTTGTTGTGTTGTTGTTGTTGTTGTTGTTGTTGTTGTTGTTGTTGTTGTTGTTGTTACTACCAATATTATCAATATTATTATTATATATTTTTAATTATTATTATTATTATTATTGTTATTATTGTTATTATTATTATTATTATTATTATTATTATTATTGTTGTTATTAATATTATTATTATTATTATTATTATTATTATTATTATTATTATTATTATTATTATTATTATATTTTTGCCCCCAGACCCTGATGTGGGTCATTGACCTGTGCCCTGGTGGGGTAATCCCGGAAAAAAATAGTTGCTGTTTTAATGCAGTACTGTACAGGTTTAACTGCTTTATTAATTCCACACAAATATTTCCTTAGTTTTATTGAACTATTGTATTTAATATTTTTGAGTATGGGTAAGAGGTTTCTTGAGGTACAAAGTGTTGCATTACTGGCTACAGGTACTGTACAGTACTCTACATACATGCTCAGAATAAAAACAGTGGAAGGGTAATTTAGTTAGTGACGGCTCAGATGGACATACTAGTCATCTTAGGCCCGAACCTAACCTAACCATTAGGATTTGGTCATTGGTGTACTAACTGGCCCCAGTCATAATGGTTATGCTTGCAAAAAGTTGGGTTTTATTGGGACCGAGGTTTTTTCATTTTTATTTACTGTATTTATAAATTTTTATATTCTGTATTTTTATTTATTTTTTATTTATTATTTTTTTTTTTAATAGCCCACCCAGGCATAGATAATCGACCCACAATGGGGGTGGGGGGGGGGGATTAGAGGAGAAAAAGAATGTTAATCTACACCATGAAGATGCAGGAAAATCGGCTTTTTGAAGTGAGATGAGAAAAAGACAAAGCATTCCACAGTTTAGCTGTGTGAGAAAAGAAGGAACTACTGTAATGGGCTATTTTAGTGTACTCAACATGCACACAGAAACAATGGTCACTACAGGCAAGAAAAGTTTGAGTTGCAAGCCTGTTCAGTACAGTACATGCAGTGTAATGTATTAAAATCTTTCCAGTTGCCTAAAGTTCCTTGGTGATGTGGTTGAATTGGGACTTTATTGTTGTGGTGACTTTTTTATTGCTCCTGCCATTTATTCTTTTCATCCTGGACTCAGATTCGGATTTGGCCCATACAGGCGAGGAGGGGGGCTTTATTTATTGGGCACCCTGTTTTCATATATACTGTACTGTACTAGTTAAGAGCTATTGGGTGGTGCTTCAGTTCTCCCGGTTTTGTGCATTCTTTCTCTGCTTTGGATATTGATTTGTCACATTAAATGGTATTTTAAAATTTCATTTTCAGTAGGTCTTCATCGCACCTGAGAGATTCTGATTTTGGAAATTCTGACTTGCTGAACTCTATGATGACATCTTTACAGGTTATGTTAAGTGCATGTAGATTAATATATATTTATAAAATTGCTCTATGTACTGGTGCTATTGTTATGAATGAGAGTAAAGAGAGTTTTCTTACTGTGATGCAAGCAGTCACGCACATGATCAGTCAAGCTTTTAAATATCTTTTGCTTCACAATGTCTTATAGAATATACTTGATGTGTTCTGATGGGTGAAAATAATATGTTGTTTTTCTGTTCCATTGAAATTTTAAGTGTGTTAGAAATGACCAGATGTATCACCACCTTGTCTCCATGTGGCATACAATAAGAAGTAAAAGAAAACAACAACTGTAGATTTTGTTTTTAATGCAGAATCTTTAAAGGTTGTCTAATTTTCTGGCATTTTAATTTGAAATTACTGTATATTTATTTATTAATTAGGTTCAGTTTTCTGTCTGAACTTAATTTTTTTTGGCATATCATAAAAATTTAAAACATATTATTTAACATTGTATAGTTCAGTATTTAATATGAATATATAATTTTTTATATTCTTAAGAGACTGAAATGGGGATGGAGGAGCTTAGTTTCTTTTGTTTATATGCTTGGAAATGCCTTAATGTGTCTTATGTTTAATGAAGAAAAGTGCATAGTACTTCATTTAAGTTTATTACCAGACTGTGGAAAGAATGAGAAAAAGATATTGAAGCTTTTAAAAAAAATTAGTCGTGTCGAGTGTGGTCAACTAATGGTTTTCTAGCCACAGTTGAAGACCTCTCAACAGCAGTAGGCGACAAAGGCTTCTTCTCCCCATTCTACCTGTATGAGCTTCAGTTGAAGAGGAACACCTCATGAACAGTTGGTAATACTTGACTTGTTTCTTCAGGGAAGGAATACTACGCTGGACTACTGCTACAGAGGAAGGCTCCCACACCCTCCCAATATCCTGCCATGCCCCCAGCACCACCACCACCTCCCAGGGGACGCAAGAGGGGCCGCCCTCCCCTGGCCAGTCGAAGGGGATTACCTCCCTACGCTCCAAGAGGCAGCCCCTCTAAGGCCCGGTCACAAGGAAAGCGTCATCCTGAGCCCATCAAGTTTCGGCCCCCTACTCCACCTCATCACCTGTTTCTTTCATCTTTGTTCAGACTTAGCAAGTCTGTAAACTTTATAAAAAATGATATAAAGAAAACCGTCAAAATTGGCGGAGATTCCACAAAACGTGATGTTTTCTCCCCGGGTGAGGGAAAGAAAGGGGCAAATTCAGGGAAACAGAATGAGGGGGCTTGGGAGGATGACGACATAATTGTAACTGAATCTCAACCACACTTCATAAAGCATGAGAGTGAAGGACAGTGTACCCGGAACACTGACACAACCGTAAAAAGATATCTAATTAAACTACCCTGTGATTTTTGTGATCTTGTATTTAGGAAAAGAGCTTCTCTCCTTGCTCATATGAAACATAAACACAGGGGCTTGCAACAGTGCCCTATTTGTAAAGAGAAACTTAAAGTGAAAAACAAGTATGGCATGAGATTCCACATTCTCAAGAATCACAAAGATCAGCCTCACTTTCACTGTAAGAAGTGTGGGGAATCTTTCAAATTACAACACCACTTGACAAACCATGAGCGACTGAAACATGAGCTTATGGATAGTGATGATGATGAGGAGGAAAAGAAAAGAGTAGAGGAGCTTGAGAAGGAAATAGAAAAGCAGACTATTGAGAAGGAAGAGGAGGAGAAGAGAGAAAATGAAAGGTTAGAGAGAGAAAAGAGAGAAAGAGAGGAAAAGGAGAAAAAAGAGAGAGAGAGGAAGGAGAGGGAAAAGAAGGAGAAAGAGAAGGAGAGGTTGGAAAGAGAACAAATAGAAAGAGAAAGAATAGAGAAAGAAAGGAAGGAGAAGGAACTAAAAGAAAAGGAACAGAAGGAGAAAGAAAGGAGAGCAAAGGAAGAAGAACTGAAAAAGAAAAAGAACGAGAGAGAAAAGTCGAAAGGGGAACAAAAGAAATTGACCAAAGATAATGACGAAGACCACAAACAGGTGTTGGAGAAGAGTACAAATGGAAGAGGAAAAACAAAAACTGCAGCAGGTAGCGTTTCAGTGAGTAAAAGTGGAAATGTTAAAAGTGTGAAAAATGTCTCTCAAGGGAAAGTAATGAACGTGAGACCACCAGCCAAGGTAGCAGTGACTCGAGGAACTGCCTGGCCACCGAGACCTTCTACACGAGTCACACGTAGTAAGCCACAAGTACAGTGCGAGGAAAGTGAAGAAGAGACAAAAAGCGAAAGTGAAACTGAGGATGAGGAGGAAGGTGTGGATGTTGATGAAACCTCTACTTCTTCCTCAGAGTCAGAAGTAGAGGAAGAGAAGCAGTTTCCCTGTGATATTTGTGATTTGAGCTTTAGTCACTTGGTCAAGCTCAAACATCATCAAAAAGATGAACATTCCAGAGCCACAAGGTCAAAAGTGGCAGCTAAAGCCCAAGAGGAACATAAAGAGGAGGATGAAGAACAGGAGGAGGAAGAAGAGGAGGAAGAAGAAGAAGAAGAAGAGGAGGAGGAGGAGGAGGAGGATGATGATGATGATGATGATGAGGAGGATGATAGTGATGATGATGAGGAAGAGGAGCTGAGGAAAGAGAGAGAAAGGAAAGAAAAAGAGAGAAGAGAGAAAGAGGAAGCTCTTACTTGCAGAGTTTGCAACAAGCTTTGTCGTAGTGAATATCAACTAAAGCTGCATTTGCCAGCGCACACTACCACAAGAAAAGGCCAGGTTGTGAAGAAATCATCACCAAGTAAGACTACAGTAGATAATGCAGAAGAGCAAGCAGGAAAGAAACCTCGCACTCCAACAGACAAAATGAGCAGTGAAACAGTGAGGGTCCTTCGCAGTAATCCACAAGGATCCGGGAAAGGAGCAGGTGGAGAGAATTTTGAGAAGAGTAAGGAACAGTCAACAAAAGGAAAACAGGAGTCTGTGAAAAAAGAAATAAACGAAACAGTTACAAAGGAAAAACAAGCATCAGTTGCAAAGGAAAAATATCAACATCCATCGAAAGACAAGGTTGAAAAAAATGAACGACCGTCTTATCTGTTAAAAGTGGGTTCTTTATTTAGATGTACAAAGTGCAATATCACCTTCAATAGGGAGAAGTCTATGACTTATCACATGAAGAAGATTCATGAAACTTTATATCCATTTAGAGGTTGTGAACATTGTGGCAAAATATTTCGAAGTTGTGGCCCATACAACAGACATGTTCTCATTCACAAGGTTCATCGATGTCCAGAATCAAACTGTAAGGCCAAATATCGCAAGATGCTGAGATTAAAACAACATCAAAAGAATGCACATACAAACAAACCATATAGATGTCTAAGGTGTGTTTCTCTCTTTGCCAAAAAATCTGAACTTGAGAAGCACCTGAATGTGAAACACCCAAAGGTACCCAGTGATGATGAAGATGAAGGTTCTGAAGAAGAGGAGGAGGAAGAGGAGGAGGAGGAGGAGGAGGAAGAAGAGGAAGGGGAGGAAGAAGAACAGAAAAAGGAAGAAGATAGTGATGATGAAAGTAAAACAAAAGAGGAAGAGGACAAAAATGATGATGATGAGGAGGAGGGGGAAGAGGAAGAGGAGGAGGGGGAGGAAGTTAACACTCCAACCAAAAGGAGAGCGAGATGTGTTCCTATATCTTACAAAGAACCTGAAGATGAGGATGACTTGATACCTCTGAAAAAAGGTGCAGATAAAAGAAGGTTTAATGATAGGAGAGATAATAGTTGTGAACAGAAAAGTGGTAGTGATAGAAGTGTAAGTGTGGAAGTTGAAAGTCTTGATACAGAAAAAAGGAAAAGATTAAACAGTGAAATTGAGGAAAGTGTAGTTGATGAAATTGTGAAAAAAAATGATAAAGGCAATGAACAAAGGGTAGAAAAAAATCTAAAAAACAAATTGAATGACAGTACATCTCATTCTGGTGATAATTCAGCTGATGAGACTGTTTCAGCAGTAGAAACAGCAACACAGAATGTGAAACAAGAAAAGAAAGTGGTAAATAAGCGTGCATCACCGCCTAACAAGAAAAATAAAGTTAATCTCAGTTGGACTGCCGCATTAAAAGCACAGATACAAGCAGCAAAGTCAGGATCCAAAAATACTTCCAAAGAAAAAAAGGGAAAGAACAATTCAGCTAAAGTGAGACGAAGACCCAGCACTGGATCTAGTGGACAGACTACAGTGCAGGGTGCTGAGTTAACATATGGGCCTCAGCACCTAAATTTACCCCAGGAGTCTCTGTCATACCCAGGGTACTTGGTTGGTGAGGACTCTATGTTTAGCTTGGATGACAGTTCACAGATGGATATTATGGGTGACTATTACGGTGCACAGTATCCTCCCAGTGAAGAGATAAGTGACTTTGTACCTGATGATGATGAAAGTGGACCTGCAAAAATAATAGGCTTTGATTCATTTTAATTGAGATTTGCATAGTCTTTTGATCAGATGATACCTCATGACATTAGTAAAGAGACTTGTATAGTGCAATATTAATTCTTGTACATAAACCTTAGGTAGGTTATCAGTAACCATTTGTGTTATGTAATAAGTATTTCTTCCTGTGAAATGAACACTTCAGAACATGCCAAGTCGTGAATGGGTTTGTATTGTTTTTATAATATATATGTAAATATATTTTGAAGTGCTTCTGAAAAATAATTTTGTGATGTATAATATATATTGTATTTAAATATTTGAATGACATTAAGCTATTTTAGTTTATTACTTTTATGTTTCTTTCAAAGAATTATTTATATTTGTAGTTCATATTGTCCCCACATGAAATGAATGTCTTCAGGATATTAATACTGATGACAGACAGTGTTTAACAAAACAAGTAGAACTTGTGTACTGTGTACCATGAATGTACAAGACCTGTACTGCTGCTTATCGAAATATGGATTACAAATTTTACAAATTTATTTATGTTGTCCATTATAAGTACCTATAAGGAGGGAGAAATTGCTTATCTCATTTCTTTATGATGTGTGTGTTTGATATGATATGTGTGCTTTGAGTGCCATGTGATTGTGATAATTCTGATGGAAACCATCTAGTGGAATTCACTATCAGTGAGGGACTGAAACCCTTCAGTGTTTTCCATGGTTAAAGATGATATATGCTGACGCTTCATTGTGCCTGCAGGCATGGATACCTCCATCGTGGCGTCCCCTGAGCCCCAGGATCCCCCAGACCCCCCATCGGTGGAGACGACTTCATCTCTGTCACCCAAACCGGTACTGGTTCGGAAGAGGGTGAAGAAACCCGATCGCGTGATAAGATTGAAGAAGGTATGTGAACAGTGTGGTAAGGCATTTAACAAGTCCAGCAAATACCTTCAGCATCTACGCACACACAGGCCACTTCAACAGTGTGACAAATGCAACTTCAAGACAAAAGATACCAAGAGGTTTCGGATGCATGAAATATCACACAAGAAAGCTAATCCTGAAGTGAGATGCAACATCTGCAATGAACTCTTTGCAACAGAAGTCACACAGAGAATTCATATGAAAAAAATTCATAACATCCATGTGTGTAAATATTGCGACGCAGAATATGACTTGGAGCGAAAATTGTTTGATCATTTGGAACAGAAGCATGGCCACAGAAGGGAGAAAAAGGGTTATCTAGACCCAGAAGAAGCTGAATATGTAAAACCAATCAACATTTTTGTGGATCCTCCCCCAGCCAATGAGAAAAGGCAGTTTATATGTCGGCTGTGCAATAAAGAATCGAGGAACAAGTACCAGCTTAAAATACACATAGCCCAACATTTAGGGGTCTCTAGCAACAAAATCAGTGATGACTTCCTACTAACACAGGATGTCGATCATTTAATCAAGGAAGGAGGATTATGCAGCTCATCTTTTAATCCTCGGGATGTCACTCTTGAAAGTCTGGTACCTATCTGCTCATTGGATATGTCTGTTAACTCTTCTATTAAAAGTGAGTTAGATGCACCATCTGAGGGTAATATCAGTGATACTTTAAGTTCAACTAGCAAGACAGATACATCATTAGAAATTTTATGCAATTCAATGAAGAGGTCATTTGCTTCTACATCAACTGCATTTCCAACAATGAAGCCACTTTCAGATTCATTTCCAACTATTAAGCAGGAACCATGTGAAGATAGTTCAAATGAACCAGACTCTGATGGGGACCATGATGGAACTTCTTATTTAAGCAATTTTTCAGTCTTCAGATGTGGTTTGTGTACACTCAACTTTAGTACCCCACATGAATATAATGTTCATGTTGTTAGAATGCATCAGAAATCCAAACAAACACATGTATCAAAGCAAATGTTCGAACCCAAACGTGTGAGGCCATCTTTTCCCTGTGATTCATGTAAAGTTGTGTGCAGAAGTGTAAAAACCTTGCGTGCCCATGAGAGGAAGAAACATAGGAAAACATTCTCCTGTCCTGCATGTCATGTTTGCCATAAGACCATTGCAAGACTATTACGACACCAGAAACAAAAACATAAAAACAAGATTCGTTGCCGGATCCAGTGTGGGGCGCTTTTTGACACCGAGGAGGAATCGTTTCTTCACAGTAAGGAAGTACATAATAAAGAGATTACAAAAATGGCTTGTCCATATTGTCATGTTGAGTACTCATACGAAGGAAACTTGATAAATCATTTGGAGAGATGCAAAGATTGTCCACCAGAAAGGAGACCTGCTCATGTTTGTGGAAATTGCGATCAGATTTTGCCAAATATCAAAGAATACCATGAACATGCCAAAAATTGTAAAGTACAACAAAAGATAAAATCTGAGAAGAATGAAAATAAAGAAATTGCAAACAAATTGCTAAAATTGGAGGGAAATGCTTTTTCAAATTATGATGAAAAATCTAGAAATGCAGTACATGTATTAGAATTGGAAGGTGACACTGATTCTAATGGATGGTCAGACAAAGACGATGGTAAAAAATCCCATTCATCAGACAGATATGTCGGCTATGTAAAAACTGAAAGAGCAAAAACCAATAAAGATAAACATTCTAATTACATAGATGGTCCCCAGAAATGTAAATATTGTCCAGACAAGTTTGAATTGAAGGAAGATGCTGTAAATCACATATTAGCTGTGCATAAGAACTTGATAACACGTATGATTACAGAGCCTCAAATGTGTGAAGTTTGTGGTATGATATTTAAGAATCAGCTGTGTTTATGTAAACATATTTCAAAGCACTATAGTGATCTTGGTATGTGGGATGTACTTGTGCCTCCCAACTTGTTAGATATTGTTAAAGTGAGGAGTTATTGCTGGGTCTGCAAATGCACGCTTCGAGGGAAAATGAAACACCATACTAATATGAGAAATGAAAATATTGATAGGCTTTTAGCTGCTGAAGGAATGGAGATGCAAGAAACAGAACCTTTTAATTGTTCTCAGTGTGGTGACTTCTTCACTACACGAAATGATTTTTGGAAACACATAAAAATACACTTATCGAATCTTCCCAAATGGTCACATCAGCTTGTTGGATCTTCGTCTTCTGGTAACAGTCCAAATAAAAATACTGAAGTTTCGGAATGCAGTGAATGTTCTCTAAAATTTGCTGACAAATCAGAACTTTACCAACACCTTGCAGTGCACTTCATTGAACCATACGCTCTACCCCGAACCTCTCACCGTAAGTTGGTTGACACAGACAGTAATAGTGATAAAAATGGGGATCTCTATGAAGATAGTAAATTATTAATAGGCAGTGAAAATGAAGCCACAGATGATGAAGCTGAGAGTAATGCTAATGTTTTCAGCTTGGAGGACTTTTGAACCCAGACTAAAGTACGAGCACTAATTTGTATTTACTTGACAAATTTACTGGTTCATATTTTAAGAAAGTTCACTAAAAGAGGCTCCTATCTCAAGTGCGAGTGCTCTGGACCCCCTGTACAAGAGATGTGTGTTGATTTCCCATACCAGACATTTATTGGGGGTCTTCCTTGCTGTGTTGTGTACTGAGTGAGCACTTGATACACCTGTGCCCCAGGCTAAACTAACTCTTTGTGCTTGGGGGGGTTGCTACCTCATTAATTATGTGCTTAAAGGATATTAGATTATTCATTGAAGTTGGTATTTACATTTATGTAAAAGCCAAAGTTAATATCACGTATCCTTTTGGCACTTGGCAGCATCCTTGGGGTACTAAAGATTTGCTTAGCCTGTGGCTGTAAGGGAAATTAGCTGACCATTGTACATCTTTCCGGCTCTTGACTTTTGTCTTGGAATTTGTGTCTTGTGGGTGTTGAATTCCAAACATTACCCTAATACTATTATGTATAAGGTCAAATAATATTATTCTATATATTATATTTTGAGACTGATGGAAATGCTTCAATAAAAAAAGAATCAAAAAGAATATTTGGGCATGGATTTCAAGTGCATATTGTTAAAAAAAAATATATATGCTATTTTTCGTATCAAACAATTTTAAGAGCCCAAAAGCTAAATTTTAAAGCCTGTGTGAAAATTATAAATCATGAATAAACTTAACACAACTCGGGAAAAGATGGTCGTTGTATGCTGTTGGCTTCCCTTAGTGTATATGCTAGTGCTATGTGCTGAACTCAGAAAAAGTGTTGATGCAAAATCTCGGTCAAACATAATAGGTTGCTGATATACCCACAGCTTGGTTTCTTTCCCTAATCTTACCCAGGTTATGTATGACTATCCTCCACACTTCAAACATATAGGGTGTCCCAGAAAAATGTCCCTGCCTGCTCCCTGAGACACTGTGAGTTGGAGGGAGGCAGTGAGGTAGGGACATTTTTCTGGGACACACTATATTCTCTTTATTTATTTCTCTAATCATACTTACATGTCTTAATTTCATCATGCTTCTGGTCCATCTTAGCTGCTTATACCTGTATACAGTAAATATGCCATATGTGGTACCCTTGTAACCTTTGCATCACTTTTATTTTCCATCTTCCTTCCTTGTTATAGTATACTTAACTTGGTGCTTCTCCATCCTCTCAGTACATTACTGCATTCCCTCTGCAGATATATTTTTTTTTGGATTTGTTCTAAGCAGTCCAACTCTTAATTAAATCTTCTTTAATCACATTACGTTGAAGCTATAGTATAATTTTTCCCAAAGAAACTTTTGCTAATCTTTCACTTTCAATCTTTTACGGCAAAATGGGTAACCCAACTAATATCTTCTCGGTAGTCATTTTGGTTATTGTACGTAGTTAAATGAATTCACTTTCAACTCTGAATTCTATCTTGAATTCTATCCATCTTCTTATAGTACTGGAGTACCTGCACAAAAGACAATGTTTAATCCCATGCCAGGCACAGTTAGTGAAAACGTATCTTACCTTACCTGCTATGGTTTTCCTTTGTTGAGTTGACCACACTAAGTTAGTGCCCAGAGCGAAGTTAACCCTTCTTGCTAGGGTGTTGCCAAGCCACAGCTTGTAGAAAAAAAAAGCATCAAGTATATTAGTTATTAGAATACTGTACATCCTTTTGTGAATAAGGTTTTTATTAAAGGCAGTCATATAATTTCCTTCTAATAAAATAGTAATTATTTCTTAATGTTACTGTTTTTATCCTCTTTGGTGAGCTTGATCAGCAACTAGAGATTATGATTATTTGGGTATCACAAAACCCTCATGTAAAAATATTCCTCAGATGGTGGTCTCATTGTATTTGGAGGGTTTGATTCTTTTAGGTTAGTCAATTAACACTTTAAATAATTGTACTATTTTACTCACCATTATGGGTTAGTAAATGGCCTTGAGATGATACTAACTGGTCAAACATTTTTTGAAAGATAATTATATATTTACACTTCCACACCAAACATTGGTTTCATAGAGAATACAATACTTATGTTACCGTAATTTAAGTGTGAACTGCTATGCCACTTGTTGGGTAGGAGATAAGCTCACCATAATAGAGTGGCTACAATAAACACACACACACACACATGTTCTCCTACATTCCTTGTTATATATTCTTTTGTACTGTGCTATTAAATGTACTCTATTTTGGTACTAACAACAATGTCCTAGTTATCTAGTTATCTGTCTGGTGTAGCTGTAACATTGTACAACTTAGCATCACCCAGCATCATTGTCTTCCTTCCCCCCCCCTCCCCAAATTACTCCAGTCCTTTCTCTCCATTCATTCATAAATTTCTTGGGTGCCCATGCCCTCACTTCTAAGGCATTCTTCACCCTTCCTTCCATCTTTTCCTTGGTCTTCCTTTCGACCACCTACCATTCATTCAACTAATCTTCCACTTTTCATTCTCACATTATGTCAGAACCACCCAAGTAAATAATGATCAGCTCTCTTTTGTCACTTCCACATTCCCTGTTTTATTACTTCTTTTTTACTGCACCCATTTGTCCCACATACAGCTCTTGGTCACTCTTTTCTCATTTGCAGTTACCTGTTTCTACCCCATCTACTGTCTTTTGCATTAATGTCTTTCATTCAGTTTCTTATTCTTCACATGACTTTTTTAATTGTTTGTATTTTGTATCATCTTACAGTGCAGTATATGGTTGTTCTTTAACTTTGCGTATTTGAAAATGGTTTTCAATACTGTATTGAAAAATACAAAGTTTGGGAGCTAATGAATAGAGTCCTACTTGGTGTGTTTTTGTTCATTGTCTTGGGTTCTTCTGTCATGTTGCTTTTTATCTTCTTCAGATATGTTACAAGGTGGTTATGCGACATGTAGCAGGGCTTGTTTACAATCTTGAGACATGTAGTAGAGCTTGTTTACAATCTTGAGACATGTAGTAGAGCTTGTTTACAATCTTGAGACATGCTGCAGGACTTGTTTACAATTCTGAGGCAAACTGGAGGTTTGGTTCTCTTGCTTATCCCCGCCAACTATTAGTAACATGGTACAGTTGCGGAAATGTGTTTTTACACCTTGGTGGTAACTCGTGTCTCCAAACAGCAAACCTATCCACCAATCATGTCCGCCGTTGCATGACCAATACCCATTCATTGATAGTGATACTGCTACTGTGACTGTGCTGTTTGGAGAAATGGACTACCACAGGGGATGTAGAAATGCAGTTCTGCAACTGTACCACTGGCTGAGATTTATTTGTGACATGTACTCCTGATTGTCACTACTGTATTGTTACTCTTAATGCAAATGATCCTAGTTGTCAGCTAAACCTAAATATTAATTATTTTTTAATATAGTACAGTACAGTATTTTTTAAATAAGCAAAAAATCCTTAGTCTTTTTTTTTGTACTTGGTTTCTTAAGATAAACATTGAATTTTAAGTTAATTTTGTACTTTTAACAAGATTCAAGAAGTTCCAGTGTGTAATACAGTGTGAGTGTCTAGAAGTCTCAGGTGTCATTGGAACAGCCTAAGAAGGGAGCCTCAATTTGCAAAGATGTTTATTGTTTTGTTGCTGGTATTGTGGTTGGATGTCAGGATACAATGCACAAATCAATGGCTCCAAATTTTTTTTTATACAGTGTATTATTACTGTGTAATGGTAATTATTGCACAAACTTGGTATAATTAAAAAGAAAAACTTTACAATTTAAAATACAGAAAATATTACAAGGGACTGGTTAAAAGTGGTTGGTGAATACCTGTATTGTAAATGATAAGAACATGGTAACATTTGGAGTTGTAAACTTCCATGTGACATAAGACAACATTTTCAGATGTAGTTGGTGAAGAATGGTAATGAATGGCAAATGTTACCCTATGAATAAGTTCATTTCCAGATAACATGTTTAGTACAGTATACTTCTTTTTGTAGTTGTGCTTGTTTTTCATGAATCAGCTTACTGACTCGTCGCTAGATTTTGATTTTATATTTATTTGTAAATGCAGTAGTTTTATTTTGTAACCTACTTAGTGTTTTAAGGAAAAATAAGCAGCATATTGTCTTGTACATAAAAAAATGAATTGTATAGATTTGTACTGATGAAGGATGTATACGAAGCAACAGTTTTATAATGAAAATAATTTTACTGTATTCACAAGCAGTCTGTGAGAGCATTTTCTCCAATAGGGACAAGGTCCTCACTACAAAGTGGCTACCACAGGTCAGCCTTCATATTCAATCCCTTCATTGTCACACAGTTTAAATGAGATTTAGAGATTACTTGGTTTTGTGACTACAAGCAACTTGGTCTATGATGTAGTATATAATATTATTTTTCTTAGTGTTTGTATCGTCCTCAGGCAACTAAGAGACATTTATAATGCATTGATACTGGAAGAGTTTTATGTTCATGAAAGTTTCAATTCACTCTCGTATCTATCAAGAATGTTCTTTTCAGCAAAAAAAAACCCAGTTTGTTGGGAATGTTCTTTCCCCAGTGATGATATAATTGTAAAAGAATTAAAAAAATTATTGAGTACTAGTAAGACGTGCTTGTGTAGTCATCACAAGTATTACATTAAAGACAAAGGTTGATTGTCTTCTTTCATGAAACAGATGTGCACATTTTTAGTCAGACTATGGGGCCATGCAAGGGTAAGAAGGTTTCATCAATATTTCTGGACTGCTGTATGTATACAGTACAGTATATGTATTTTAAGCATTCAAATTTGCTAATACTGTACATATTTTAATTGATTTTACTGAAAAGCAGAGACAATATAGAATTTATTTTGATGTTAATAAAGGTATCAGTGAACCTCAAGAAATATTTCAGATTTCTTTCTAAACATATCTTTTTCATTCTTTGCACCAAAATAGTTTAGTATTATTAGAATCACTTGCTGCAGGTCAGTGAGGGGGTTATTGTTTGGATAAGTGGTTTAATT